GGCTTGGGCGCCATGAGGAGTGACAGTGGTTGATGATCGATCGCCTCAAGGGGCTTGTCTGCAGCTTTGAACAGCCTCACCAAAGTGAGGCCCCAATGGGGCGAGGTCACACCCCATACTGGGGCCACCAAAGACATGGCCACACCACTCCGCGAGACAAGCCTTGCAGTCTTGTGAGATCTGGTCCTGCACTCGGTGTAGCCTCATATCTTTCCGTTTTTTTCTGCACTGGCTTGGACAAAACCATACACTTTCCGAAGGTCGGACCATCTGCTTCTGCTGTAGAGACAGGAAAGGATACATCCACTGGCAACTCTATCTACAAGGTCAATCAAGCCTTTCGTCAACCATACTCAGTTCAAGGAACTCCACTTCCGAGACAGTGAGAAACCGTGCTTGTGTCTTCTCTTTACGGTCAAAATCTTTCACTTCCAAGATGCGTTGCACTTTGTGACTGATGAGTGTTTGACCTTCAAAGCTCACGCGGATTCCAAGAACATGTTCACAAAAACTCAGGGATTCCACGAACCCATGAAAGGCGGAGGCAGGCCGATTGGTTTCTTGCAGAAATTGGACGTATTCTTCCACGGCTTCGGGAGTCACTGGGAACGGGCACAAGTGGAAAAATCTGGTCTTGTACCAGGTATGCTTCAGAAAGGCAGACAGGTGAAAGTTCATCAGGTCACTTGACCAAGTTGACCTCTCGGTCATAGTTGATAATGCTTCAGTGCTCTCAGTTGGATGAACTCTCAACACACGAGACTCTGGGGGCAGGCACGTCAAGGTCCAGGTCCTGTCTCGACTCCAGTGCCTGTGACAAATCAAAGCCGTCCGAGGACCATCCAGAAACAGAAATCAGAATCGCCTCCACTCGGAGTGTTTCATGGCAACATACCAAAACAGGGGTCGTAGTCATGAGACTGGATATCAACTCACTTGAGCTGGGTGCCCCACAAACTTCCGGCGGTGATTTGACACCTTGTTTGCCGGCAGAACTGCTCCAAACCAAGGCGCATACTCGTCGATCAAGCGGCTCATATTTGAGGCCCAGACGTTGTTGTCAGCCGAACTTCAGAACAAAGTCCACAGAACTGAAGAACAGGTGAAAGCAAAGATGGCACCAGCACAGCGTGACAACAGGATCAAAGACCAGCGCACAAAGCTGGAAGGCCTTCGCCTTAGAGGAGAGGAAGAGTGCAGTCACTCAAGTTACGACTTGGTGTTGAACATGCTAGAGAAAGACTGCTTGATCTACCTTGGTCCTGAGAAGTTCGCCACAAGGCGGCAAGAGCTGATGCAGAAGAAACCAGGCCGAGAAATATCGATCGACCAATCATCTTTGGTCGTCAAGGACAAGCAGCAGGAGCTCCTTTGCAGCACGACCACAGAACTTGAGACAGTCAACGCCTTCAGACGAAGAGCACTTGCGTTCGATTTAGTCAAGTGCTGTGGGTTCCATGCAATGAACACGTACCATTCGGAGCTCTTCGAGCACATCCACCAGGCTCCACCACCAGGGTACTCTGCAGTTAGCCTGGCGCAGATCCTGCGCGCAGATCGCGCGGCCTGGGTGATGATGGCAGAGAAGATCAGTAGTCTCAAGAGAGATCCACAAGGAGCTCTACCGTTGGAAACTGAGATCCAGAAAGCATTGGCACATCCGACGGTCTCCTTTCACCTCCTGCCACTGCCTGCCAAGTCATCCGTGCCAGAAAAGCCGAAGAAAGACAGATCGAGAACACTGCCGAAATCATCTCCAGCCAACAAAGGTGCCCCTTCCACGAAAGGAAAGGGGAAGGGACGCAAAGGTTCCAACAAGAAGGGAAGGGGTCCGAACATCCCCAAGGGGCTTATCGGCAAAGCCCTGCAGACAGCACCTGGAGAGAGGCTATGTTGGGCCTTTAACCTTGACAGAGGTTGCACCGAGGCATCTTCTGGAGGAAAGTGTTCCCGTGGCTTGCACCTTTGTACAGAACCAGGGTGTCAAAAACCACACAGCATGCAGCACCATAAGTGACAAACAGCTGCGGGTGTTCCAGTTTTGTCGGATCCAAAACCTGTCTTTCGAAGCAAAAGCAGCACCCCGTACAAGGGACGCCCGCTCAGTGAATTCTACTGTATAGAAATCTATGCAGGCACTGGCCGCCTTACTGCTGCCATCCGTGCCATGGGAATGAAAGACAGCTTTGGAGTTGATTGCAAGTTGCCTTCTCAGTTGCGCAGTCCCATAAAATATGATTTGCTCAATCCTCAGCATGTGAAGCTTGTACAGGATCTAATCGCTTCACCGCGGTGCCTGTATGTTCATTTCGCGCCACCCTGCGGCACTAGTTCCAGAGCCAGAATGATACAAAGAGGCTGGAGGTGGAACCCACCCATCATCCGCACTGACAAGCACCCAGATGGTATCCCTGGCCTACAAGCAAGTGCCTTTGAGCGATGAAGCCTTTGAGATGGATTCGTTCCTAGTAGTCTACAGCCCTTTGTCCAAGGGGCCGGAGGTTTACAGACAAAGAGTGCTCCCTTTCGGATCCGCGGCGTCCGTCACGGCATTTCTTAGGTTGGCTCTTGCACTTTGGAAGGTTGGGACAAAGTTGCTGGGACTGATGTGGTCGTCCTATTTCGACGACTTCTTTTCCCTCACAGAAAAGGAGACCAGTCGTCATACTGACTCAGTGATCTCGGCCTTCTTCAGTGTCCTAGGATGCTCTCCAATGACAAGCTGCTTCCGTACGATTCGGCTTGTAAAGTCCTTGGAATGAAGTTCGGCTTGAAACAGTCTGGCACAGGACTTTCTTAACACGGAAGACCGGGTGGCAGAACTGTGCGAGAGCCTTGATGAGATTTTGATGATCCGCCGCTTGAAGAGGAGCGAAGGTGAGAAACGGAGAGGCAGGCTGATATTTGCAGCCGGTCAACTGTTCGGTCGATTTGTCAGGAATCAAGTCAGACACCTCTCCAACCACATTCGATCGGGCAGAGCCAACCTCTCAGATGAGACAGCAGAAGCTCTTCAGTTGATCCGCAATTACATCCACTCCAACGTGCCCAGAAAGATCGCAGGCACACTGTGTGACCACATTCACATTTACGTTGATGCTTCTTTTGATGATGGAGGTTATTCAGGTTTATCAGGTTTAGGAGGTGCCATCTATGACAGTGAAGGGAATCCTGTTTCCTTCTTCAGTGAAGAATTGAGTCGAGATTTTCTTGAGACCGTGCGCTCCGATGGTCAAGTGACTGTCATCCAGGAGCTTGAAATGTTAGCACTTCTCATAGCGGTCCGACTTTGGTTCCGGGAGTTTAAGAGTCATAGGTTTGTCGCATTCACCGATAGCGAGTCTGTCAGGGGTGCATTCCTTAAGACCTGGTCCAATAACACTCATAATAGTCGTTTTCTGACGCACATCTTCCAAGTGGAAGAAGACTGCCTTTGTCAACTTTGGCTAGAGCGAGTGCCCAGCCAATCGAACCCATCCGATTGCCTCTCTAGAAAGAAGGTTGAAAGTTGGAAGGGTTTGAAGAGAAGGCAAGTCGATTGCCAAAGCCTTTGGAACGAAGCGGCCCTCCTCAGGGGTAAGTGCGCGGCCTGAACCAGACACAATCCCCAGTGACAAAAATAGCTGCTGCGGATCTTTACCGTTGACCCAGGCTTGGAGGTGAAAGGTCGGAATGCACTTCACAGGGGTCAGCCAAGAACATGCAAACAAATAAGAGTTTTCTCATGGTACATGAAAAAGCCTTATTTGAACTGTATGTTCGAAGAACGAATCTTCATGAGTGAGCTGACCACTGAAGTTCATGTACATGTCCGTTTTGTTCAGCTTCAAGTGAAGCAGACATAGAGCAAGTGCCCTTGTCACATGTCATGTGTTCATGAGCTTTCATGTCACAACATGCAATCAGATGAGCACATGATTCAATTGAAAGTAACCTTTGCAGTTTGCCGTCAATCAAATAGTTTTGATCCTCAATATTCAAAGATCAAAACAATTTCACTTCAATTTTTTTTCGCCCCGAACCTCTCCCACCCTTCTTAGACATGGATGTTCAACCCGATGTTGACCTTGTCACCATCTTCGGAGCCGTTTTCACAGTGCAGTCCTATATTCCAGAAGCTAGACGAAGCGTTGCCACAACCAGCAGCCCAACTTGCTGCAATGATTCAACAAGTCGGCCAAGTCAAGATTCAGCTTCGCTTCTTACTCCAGCTCAAGTTACTGAAAGCATGTCGACGACTCCGTCAACATCTTGCTCAACATGGACGATTGCCACTGTTGAATTTGAATTTCCGCTGCTAGTGTAGCTGGCTTTTCCGTGGTAGCACATTGCCTACCCCAGCCAGTACGCGGCCTGAACCAGACACAATCCCCAGTGACAAAAAATAGCTGCTGCGGATCTTTACCTTTGACCTAGGCTTGGAGGGAAAGGTCGGAATGCACTTCACAGGGGTCAGCCAAGAACATGCACACAAATAATTTTCATGATGGGAACTGGAATGACAAATCATTATCACTAACATGACATGCAGGTCAAATGTTGACCGATCGATTGCACAATCACAGATTTGGTGTTCAAGTGTATTGCACGTTTGATCTTGATCCGGCCATTGACCCATCAGTTTGGTTCACCATGTTTGTGCAATCGCAGTCTTGTTTGTGGTAAGTAATAAATATTTAGCCCATGTTGATGCATTTTGTGGAAACGAATCGGCACTGGAAAAACATTTGCGATGCCACGATTCCGATGCGCCAATGTCAAGCGTAGTTGCTATGAAAATTGCACATGTGGCGTGTGCCATGGGGGACACAGGCGATTCTTTTCAATGCGTCATTTACATTCATGTACGATGTCACGAAAATTATTTTGCAAGAGTAAGAGTAACATGTATCATATGGACCTGCACACCGATAACGTGTTCCAAAATTTTTACCGAAGAGTCCAAATTGACCAATTGGACAATGTCTCCAATTTGCACACGGACGGTGTTTCCTACTTGTTGCACGTGGTGTTGCCATGCTATGGTGCGCCGGTGAACAGTTTTGGCGGTGGTCATTCGTCTTGCATAGAGGCTGGGGGAATTTGCGAAATGCCACCGGGGTTTCAAACATTTTGTCACTCGCAGAAGCATTGAGCAGTCCAGGTGAGCGGTGACCATGAGGTTGTTTCGCCCTGAATTTTGCGTGGGGGCCGGGATCTCACAGTCAGATGTTTGCCCGTGTGGTCGAACCGTAACCATGGCATGTCTGTTGCAGTAGCCGTTTGGCGTCAATGGCCCAGGTGGCGGTGCTTTTGAGTTTCCTTTCGCTGACCATTCTGATGTTGTCTTCAGCGCCCAATTCCAATAGGGAGGTTGCAAGGGGGGTCCGGGACCCTTCACTAGACACATGTGAATTGAACAGACACACATGAACTGCCTCAACGAAATCCAAAAATGATTTCGTTAATTTCTCAGCAAAATTTTCACGGTTGGAAAACTGAGAACGTGTGTTCCTAGCTTCTGTGCATGTGTTTGACGGTTCTCGTGGGTGGAAACATCAATACTCCCATGGCCAGGCTGCGGCTACGGGCATAGCACGGTCTCTGCAGGCCCAGTTGGATCCATGGTGATGCATGGGCGCCATGAACAATCCATTCTCCTGTGCATATATCATCATATATCAGGAAACCCAACCGGACCCAACCCAAACATACCCAAACAATTTAGTTCGTTTTCCTAGTGATGGATCTGCGCACAGATTTTCCCCATCGCGTTTCGTTCACCGCACGGTGCAGTTGCAGAGTCGACCCAGGTTCGAACATGGGAACGCGACTCGCAGGCTGTTGCCTCGTCCCCGGCGCTTTTGGCGCCTCGGATATAGCCATAGCAACCACGGTTGATGGTGATTCATGGTTTCATAGTTTCACAACAAAAGTTGATGGTTGATGGTTGATGACTGATGATTGATGATGACCTATGCCTATGGATCCTAGGGTTGGTGAATTTCATCCTCTTCCCATGCGCCTCTTGGTGGTAGAGATATGGAGGGTCGGTTGCCAAGGCCTTGGATAGTCGGCTGGAATCCATGGAGCGACACCTCCAGGAGTTGAGAGGCGGATCTGTGGGACACATGGCTTGGATAAAGATGGTGCAGCTGCAGCAGAGCATCGCACACCAGGCCCGAGCTATGCGTATCCGCAGTATCCGGCCTATGGACCGCCAGCAATGGGTGCATCCCAGGGGCAGATGGACGCATTGTGCAGTGCCTAGTGAAGTGAAGTTGGACACTTTAGATTTGGATTGCCAGAGAATGTAACCTTAGAAATTTCAGATCCCTTGTTTTTTCCCCCTCCGGGAGACTGTAGAGTTATGGAAGTAATCCACTTATCCGGGGCTGACATTGCAGTATATATAATTGAGATTAATTGAGTATGGTGATTTGTCATGTTTTACTCTGTTTTTAATCCCTGCCTAGGGGGTATAGCATCCGATGCGCAATGGGTGCCGAACCATCAGACTCACCTTGGAATTGTTTGAATTTGCTAAGGGTCCAGCAGATGAGAGAGGCATTTGCGAAGTCAACAAAGGAGAACCAGGTGGCGCCCCAACACCAGGAGAGGTGAGGGAAGTCCTCAGCTGTTCAGTCGCGGAGTCAAATTCGAGAAACACCATGTTTGACGCCTCAAAAATTCGTTAGTTGGGTCCGACTGGAGTCCAACTGATTGCTGGGTTTCCCTAGTTAAAGAAGATATATACCTGATATACCATGAATTTCTTGGGAGTTTGATTTCATTGGGAACAACATGTTAACAATCTTTGTTTCCAATGCCGCCAGGACTACTGGGGTGGCTGGGAGGAGCCAACAACGACGACTCCCGTGTGGCAGGGGCAGATCAAGGAACTTCGGGAGGTCCAGCGACATCGAACCGACATAGAACTGAAATGGACACACATATATGGCCAACACATGTATGAACATGTATAGATCTCAGGTGATTCATGGTGATTCATCTTCAAGACCCTACATAACTAATGTCAACCTTGGATTAATAAACCCCAAACGGCTGTTTAATTGTGGGGATACCATGGTACCATGGTTTATTATCCGGGGATAGCAATCCAAAAACCCAAGCAGTGTCAATTGTGGGGCAGGCCGTGGAGCGTTTGTCGCACCAGACGGACGACCGATTTTCGCCGCTGAGATGGAAGCTTTTTGATGTCGAAAGCATCAACAGAAAATGGTTCGATTTTTATGTGCTGACTTGGTGCTACTAGTCTCAAGACAGAAAAACTCAAGAGTTTTGGGTTCCGCTTCCTTTGGCGACCCACAGAAAAGATGGAATTTGAAAGCTGGGATTATATATATATATATATATCTTTTTTTCTTTTGGCAGTGGTTGAAGATGGATTCTTGGAACATTTTCCTCAACTTCTGGTCTCTTGCCACCCCCAATTGGAGAATGATGGATTCGACATGATTCAACGTGTTGAAAAGATGTTCTCACATGTTCTCACATCCTTGCAGTTGCCGGACAGAATTGTTGACTACGGAGAGACCTATGCTAAGAATGAACTATTTGGTCGCATTGGTCAGGTCACTGATGCAGCCTGGCAAAGCCAAAGGCGAAGTGTTGGAAGGGCTCTGTGCCCTGCAGATGGTTGGCAGATTTAATGTCCCTTGAACGTTGCTCAGATCCCGTGAGGATCTAAGCTAAATACAGGAAAACCTGATGAAATTAGGGATAAAACCCAACGTTCTTGTAAATTTTCTCTTCAATCCATAGACATCCCAGTGATAGGGGATCATCCCAGTCCTGATTGGCGTCTCGCTGAAGGCTGGAAGTGACACAACGCAGCCATGAATTTCGGGTCAGACCTCAGGGCCGGCACGCCCGAAATCCACATGGCCATGAGCCATGGCCCACCAAAGCTCTGTCCGAGAACCAAGTTTCAGAGAGGTACCTGTTTCGGCCAAGAATTCTCACCGGAGTTGCTCCCAAATAGACAAATCAATGGGGGAAACCGGGAAACAGTAGGTTGAACATGATTTTCAGCTCTCCAAAAGATTTTGGGCAAAGAAGTCTGACTCGTCTGACTAAGACAATGGCAGCTTTGGCGCCCATGGCGCCCATCTCCCGTGCTCAGAGGTCATCTGCCATGTGATCACCGTTTTGCTTGTGAAATCTGCTGATTTCTCCTGAACCTAAAAGTGAGATCTCCTGACTCTTTGATCTCTTTGAAGGTGACATGCCGTTTTTTCATGGTGTTTGGTGTTGCTGAAGCATCCCATTGTTTTCATCGACACATCTCCCCATCGGCGAGGCGCTGCCGTTCCTTCAATGCGACGGTCCCGACTTCGATCCGCTCTGGAGGGAGCTGCGGGTCATCAGCGCGGCACATCGCCAGGCAAGGTCGTTGTTGACGGTGAAGAGATGATCTGTGACAGGAATTAATCACCCAGAATGGTGGTTAAATAGTGGTTCACAATGTGGTGAATTATAGGGTCAACAATGGGGTGACTCATAATTTATGGTTATATATATAATAATGCCTATTAATCCCACCCCCTATTATTACACCTATATAAATGGTCGCAAATATGTGTAAATATGTGTAGAATTGTGTAGATCCCCTAGTAGACCATGGTCTTGGGAGGTGTTCTTTATGTTGGGAAGGGATTGCACCCTTGTTGTGGATGGACATCACCATCCATCATAGCCATAGCCAAATAGATTAAATAGACCATCCCTGAAATGATGAATAGATAGAGTGGATAGATAAATGATGAATACAAATATAGACATATAGATACACATACAGAATAGATAAATGAATAATGTGCAGATTAGAATGATTAGAAAATGAAAGAATGCTAAGAATGCCGACATCGCCACTGGGGGTAGGGGGACCATTTTCAGAGACAGCCATATCTAAAGAGACAAGTGAATGAATGACCAAATGAATACATACATACATGAAGACATGGTGTGAATATATACATACATATTGAACAGATGCATATGCTTTACATTCGAACAAATATGCAGCATTATTTTTTGAAAACTCCAAAATCAGTTCATGGTAGACATTTCATGGTAGACAAAACCATGTATGTATATATATATATATTATACGCATAATATATTGTCTTGTCTTTATTGTAGGTGGCAGTATGTTGCAATTTTATATGACCTTTGAAGTGTGTGTATCTCAGTTTTTCCTTGCAGGTATCAGGTCCAGTCTCCCCCAAACATGGGAAAGCTACATTGATTTCACTCTGGACCGCCGCCGCAGTTTTGGGCTTGAGGACGCATTTGAGCCCCACTTTTAAATTCATGTTCTCCCCCATATTTCACATTTTCTGCTACAGTCCCATCAGATTTTTCCACCAACCCATCAAAACCAGGGCCACCACAGGGGGGCTGCTCCCCACTCGAGTGGGCAGGAAGTAGTAGCAAGCCACAAAAACTATGGTTCAGGTGTTAAGAACTAGTAATAAGATGTAATAAGCCACAAGACTATAGAAAAACCATGGTAGTTTTTCTGTATGACTGGCTTACTTCATAGATTTCACATAGATTTCACAGGGTCACCCAAGGACGTCATGACCACCGCCATGCAGCTGCTGAGCAGCGCCGCCTCCAAGGGCGCCGAGGCCGCCAGCAGCGCGGGCCTGGCCGCGCGCCATGCGGCGCAGAAGGCGCGGGAGCACACGGAGGCGGCGGTGGTGGCGCGGAAGGAGCAGTACCTGGAGGTCACGTGGCGATTTTTGGAGGTTTTTGGATTGTTTTTTTTTTGATGTTTTGTTTTTTGTTCGAGTTGTATTTTGGCATCTATTTCCCCACATCTTTGTGTGGGGTTCTTGTTTTTGATTCTGTATCCCGGGCTCCTCCTCCGCCTTCTCCTCCTCCGCCCTCCTCCACACTTTGTCACCACACACTTGTCCACACACACTTTGTCACCACACACTTTGTCACCACACATTGTCAACACACACTTTGTCCACACACACACACTTTGTCACCACACACTTTGTCACCACACATTGTCAACACACACTTTGTCAACACACACTTTGTCACCAAACACTTTGTCCACACACACTTTGTCCACACACACTTTGTCCACACACACTTTGTCACCACACACTTTGTCCACACACACTTTGTCACCAAACACTTTGTCCACACACACTTTGTCCACACACACTTTGTCACCACACACTTTGTGAACACACTTTATCAACACACACTTTGTCAACACACACTTTGTCACCAAACACTTTGTCCACACACACTTTGTCCACACACACACTTTGTCACCACACACTTTGTCCACACACACTTTGTCACCAAACACTTTGTCCACACACACTTTGTCCACACACACTTTGTCACCACACACTTTGTCCACACACACTTTGTCACCAAACACTTTGTCCACACACACTTTGTCCACACCTTCGTTTCATGTGGCAGGCGTGGCACAAACTCACATCTACCGTCGTTTTGCGTGGCAGGCGTGGCACTTATGGTACTGGGTGGCGCCCTTGGGCCGGGATTTGGCGCCGGGGCGCCGCGCCACTTTGCGTGGCACAACCTGACATCCACCTTCGCTTCACGTGGCAGGTGTGGCACGATCTCACATCTACCGTCGTTTTGCGTGGCAGGCGTGGCACTTATGGTACTGGGTGGCGCCCTTGGGCCGGGATTTGGCGCCGGGGCGCCGCGCCACTTTGCGTGGCAGGCGTGGCACAACCAGCATCCACCTTCGTTTCACGTGGCAGGCGTGGCACGATCTCACATCTACCGTCGTTTTGCGTGGCAGGCGTGGCACTTATGGTACTGGGTGGCGCCCTTGGGCCGGGATTTGGCGCCGGGGCGCCGCGCCACTTTGCGTGGCAGGCGTGGCACAACCTGACATCCACCTTCGTTTCACGTGGCAGGCGTGGCACAACCTGACATCCACCTTCGTTTTGCGTGGCAGGCGTGGGACAGATGGCACTGGGTGGCGCGCTTGGTCCGGATTTGTCGCCCGGGGCGCCGCGCCACTTTGCGTGGCAGGCGTGGCACTTGGTGACATCCACCTTCGTTTCACGTGGCAGGCGTGGCACAAACTCACATCCACCGTCGTTTTGCGTGGCAGGCGTGGCACTTATGGTACTGGGTGGCGCCCTTGGGCCGGGATTTGGCGCCTGTGACACCGCGGCACTTTGCGTGGCAGGCGTGGCACAACCTGACATCCACCTTCGTTTCACGTGGCAGGCGTGGCACAAAGTCAAATCTACCGTCGTTTTGCGTGGCAGGCGTGGCACTTATGGTACTGGGTGGCGCCCTTGGGCCGGGATTTGGCGCCTGTGACGCCGCGGCACTTTGCGTGGCAGGCGTGGCACAACCTGACATCCACCTTCGTGTCACGTGGCAGGCGTGGCACAAACTCACATCCACCGTCGTTTTGCGTGGCAGGCGTGACACTCATGGTACTGTGTGGCGCGCTTGGTCCGGATTTGTCGCCCGGGGCGCCGCGCCACTTTGCGTGGCAGGCGTGGCACTTGGTGACATCCACCTTCGTTTCACGTGGCAGGCGTGGCACAAACTCACACCCTTTCACACCCAACTTTGTCACCCACCATCTTTCACGCACCATCTTTCACACACCACATTGTCACCCACCATCTTTGACACACCCTCTTTTACACACCATCTTTGTAACACACCATCTTTCACACACCATCTTTTACACCCAACTTTGTCAAACAGCATCTTTGACACACCAAGTTTCACACACCGCTTTGTCACACACCACTTTGTCACACCATCTTTCACCACACCATCTTCCACACACCATCTTTCACCACTCCATTTTTCACACACAACTTTGTCACACACCATCTTTGACACACCATCTTTCACACAGCACTTTGCCACAAACCGTCTTTCACACACAACTTTGTCACATGCTCTCTTTCACACAGGACTTTCACCCACACCATCTTTCAGCACACCATCCTTCACACACCACTTTGTCACACACCATCTTTCACCACACCATCCTTCACACACAACTTTGTCACACACCGACCATCTTTCGCCACACCATCTTTCACACACCACTTTGTCACACACCATCTTTCACACACAACTTTGTCACATACTCTCTTTCACACACAACTTTCACACACGCCATCTTTCACACACTGCTGTGTCACACACACACACACCATCTTTCACATTCCACTTTGTCACTCACAACTGTTTTAACTTCTCGATCCTTCACCGCCTCCTTTCCCCTAACCTTCTTTCCCCGTCCCTGCTACAACCTTTCATGCTTATTATTGGAAGAAGTTGACTTGTGGGGTCATCCGGTCCTTTAATTGGAATGAATCTCATCTTGTTAGGTGGTAGACATGGCCGTTTTTTTGATGATTTTTCCAGTGGGTGATCTCCTCCTCCCGGGGAATCCAAGGTGAAGCAGTACCTGGGGGCACTTAAGGAGCTGGAGGGGAAGATGTTTGGGATGGCCGACTCTGACTGTTGGTTATGGCATGTTATGGCCAATGTGATATTGTTTCCTGTCCTTAAATGGTAAATTCATTCCTGGGATGGATGGATTGTAGCCAAACAACACGATTCTTGATTCTTATTCTTTTGCAGATTTGAGCCTACCATTGGTCTCAACTTTAGAGAGGAACAAACGACCAAGCTGTTCTCCACAGCTCCAAACTTTGGGCATCAACAAAGCACTGCACCAGGAGCGAGTGGATGTCAATGTGCTGCGGGATGCTGGTTTCGGGCGAAAGGGCAGGTTTCTGCGGGGAGCTAAGGCGGGGCGATCCCATCGCAACAAAGCGGGGGTAAATAAGCAACGACTATGGCACTACGGGATCTATGGGTCTGTCCATGGTGCAGTTTTTCACCTTGTTCTTAAGCAGTGAAGACTCAGTGAAGACTTGTTTTTGGCAGTTCCCTTCGATTTGGATGACCGCGACCGGATCCGCTGGGAAGGTTGAAGCCCTGGAGAGATTCGTGAGCCTTTCCAAACCAATCCGCGCCAGAGTGATGCTGGCCCTGAGGGAGTCCACGAAGGAAGCCTGCTAGGGCACCAGGGGTACCTCAAAATCTCATGGGTCATCATGATTGCATCATTTTCCCAATTCAAATTGCCATGTATTGGGTGAACAACTTCTGCTTCGGATGAAGCAGATGAGGTATATAAAATGTGGTATCAGATACACAGACAAGCATGGGAGATTTGTCGTCGTCATCATCATCATAACTATGGCTATTACAGTACATACTATTATATATATACACACTATTTTTGCCACTCTTTGTACTATTACCATATCGACGATATCACTATGATTTTTATAAGTTATTCGTACGAAGTCATTGTTCCGCCCTCCAGGACGCGGCCTTGTCAGACCCCGACATGTGGATCTGCGTGCGCGAGCGCACGGGGCGCTTGATCGACCTCTTCTGGGACGACCTCACGCTCTACCTCGAATCCATGGTATTTGATGCCAAGGATTCATTGGGCCGATGGGGATGGGGAGGCCTACATTTGTCACATCTCTTAGATGGGTGGTAGACAAAGATTTTTCCGGATAGTGGGGGTAGATGTATGCCGATGGCTGAAGTATCAGTTAGTCAATGTCCGAAGGCTTGGTGATTTCGTATCTCATATAATCATTGCTTGAGTTTATGTCATTGGAACATTTCACCCTCCAAAGGAGCAGCTCTTGAACCGCGCCGCGGACCACAAAGTCCTGGCAGAAATGGGCAGCGAACCAATGTGTTGCACACCCAGCTGGTTCCGAGCCAAGTTGCTGTACAACTACCTGCCCTTCGATTTTTCGATCTTCGGGCAAATCAAAAGTCCGCTCTTCCTGTTGTTGACCCTGCTGTCCATCACCCCGATGTTCGGAATCCGCGTGGCCTTTTTCACCATCATCCTCATTTGCATTGTGGCAGGGCGCCCACCGGATGAATATCAGCTGGTGACCTTCATTTTGATGTTCAAGGGTGCACAGTTTTTGTCTTCAGGCGTCCTCATGGCTTGCGTGGCCGCTGTGAAATACTACATGTGCGTGAAAGCTGATGGGCACCACACCTGTGACACTGAGGGGCCGGGAGTTTCTCAAGATCTGGTGACGAGTTCCGTGGATTTTTTCGGCAGTTGCTTCCTGGTTTGGATCGCCTTTCTGCTGCTGCCCTGCAGTCGCAGCTTCGGTGGCACCAGGGATTTGGTCGAAGATCCGGAATCCGCTGCCGTTGGCTCCGGCTGTTGTGAGGATTATGACAAGAAACGTGGTGGACGGCTGACGGGGTTACTGGGATATGACCTTTGTTGCTTCCTCTTGAGTTGTGAACTCGGCTGAAATGGCACCTTTTTTGGCAAACAAGTAGTTCAAGATGACGGGAAATCTCGAAATGTCAGTAGGAACATAGCACCTACAAATCGGGGGATTTCATGGAATTTCCAGCTCACTAGTTTGATTGGTGGATATTGATGGGTTTGATTGGTGGATATTGATGGGGGTGTTTGGCTCGTCCATCCCTTTCTCAAACTCGGATTTTACCGAGAGCAGGGCATTTGACCATCTAACTTGTGGTGTTTTCCCGTAAGACCAACCCAAACAGGCAAGGACTGGCAAAGACCACAATAAAGCTAATAAAACAACATCTCGTCTTGTTTTCATTACAAGATAAGATAGACGATAGAGCGAAAATCAGGGTTCATTCCTATGGTTACCACATGTTACCACCTAATGTGCTTTACCGGCTCACCCTTGTCCCATCTCCCGCTGATCCCTCCGAGGTGCCTTGATCTATGGCCTCACCATGGTGGATCTGGCCTCCACAAACCACGCGGATCTGCAACGCGCGGCCACCGACAAAGATCTTTGTCAATGGGGGTGAAACAAATCCATGGGGGTAGCCCCAGTTATCATCCCAAAATTAGACCATTTTAGTATTGACACTTCTGGTTTTGGGAATCCCCAAATGGGAATCATTTTGGGAAACCCCTTTTTTTTGGCCCCAAATGTATTCACTGCCAGAGTTTAGACCTTTTGAGTACTACAGGTCGACAGCCACACAGCCACGGCGAAACCATGGGTGCTTCACCGTGCTGAGGATCTGCTGCTGTCAGATCTGCAGCGCTGGCAGTTCCGCTCGCGGGTCTTCTTTGGAAGGATCTTGCAAACCTGGCGAGGGATGGGGGGCGAAGTAAATGGGGGATGAAGATGGGTTGGGTGAAGTAAATGGGATAGAACATGGAGATATGATATGATGATATATTATGATGAAACTATCAGAAGTGGGGAGGTTGGGATGGATGATGGATGAAAATGGTGGTTTGATACTATCAAAATTATGTCTTTCCCTTGGGAATGTGGATTGTAGAGGGGTGGTCATGCCGATTTTCTGACAAAGCCATGTTGGCGCATAGATGGTTCGATGGTTAAAGTGGGAAGCCAACCTATTTTGTTTTCAAGGTCGTGTGGTGATTTGTCTGAAGTATATACTGTAAGTGGGTAGAACGATCAATGGATTCAAGTTGTGAGGCATTAAGTATATGATAAAATCATAGTGACCCAAAGGGCATTGCCCAAAGTGATGGTGAGTAGTTGGCAAGAACAAATTTCTTTCGCATGGGTGAGACATTCCTAGTTGACCAGAGAATGGCTGGAAGGTTTATGAACCCATCAATTTCATTGAATTTCCATATTTTGCTGACTGCGTTTTCGAGAAACTGACCCCGCTTTTGCTGAGTGCTGACTGAGGTATGGTTTGTTGTCCTTTCCCTTCATGGTGTTTCAGCTCCCTGTCCTCAGTGGCATTTTGACCCATACGATCCCCACGGGCTACAATTCGCAGGGCCTCTGCGTTCCCTATCTCTTGCGACCCATGCCGGACGCAGAAGGGGACGATGGGGCTGAGTAGCGGCCACGAGTGCTCCAAAGTGAGTCGAAAGAGGGGGGTATTTGGGTGGGAGCGAGACCTTGTCTTTTTCAGGGGGAGGGTATGAATTGGCAGCTGGAACACCCAATCCACAAATAGAGCCCAGGTCTAGGAACAACAATATAATAACGGGATATATATATTTATATTATATATATATATATGTAATGGGAATCTCATTTTTTTTTGCAGATCCCATCGTATGGGTGTGTTTCCGCACTGTCTTGCAGTTTTCTTGCTTGTTTGCGGTGACTTGAAATGGCAGATCAGCATTTCTGCAACAGCTCTGCCCATGGTGATACTTAGATTTCCCAGTATCCCCACCGGTCCCCACCTCCACTGATGGTTCCATTCGTTTCGCTGGAAGGCCGATCTGCGTTGGCAAGGCATGTGGGAGCTGATGGGCTGCCTGGCATAGCTTGAAGCATGGCTGGCACCTTTCAACTGCGGCATTTCGGCTCGTCATTTGGGTCATCTTGCAGCTGTAAGTCATCAGCTGGGCAGGTTTAGTATAGCTTACAGAGGCAGGCGGGGCACCCTGGATTTGGATTTTCAGGTTTCTTATGACTCCCTACTTTTCGTAGACATTCCGAGTGAGGCTGTTGTTGCCATGTCGCGCCGCACGCGGAGCTGGTTGCCCTTGGCTCTTTTGGCCTTGCTGGCCTATGCCTCTGTGCCTGCGTTTGTTGGAGGCCAGTTTTCTTCAACCCTGACAATCTGCAACAAAAATCGGGCACCTATTACTTGATTCTCAAAAGTGAAACTCCAGCTGGGGATGGTGAACATACCAACCATTGGACCATTTCTCTTAAAAAAATACCACCCCATCCAGGTGGAGTTTCCTCCCGGCCAAGCTTCGAGCGGTCGAAAGCTTCCATCGTGCCGGCCTCATGGGCGCGTGTCAACACACCATTGACATAACCTTTTCATATTGATCAGTGGCTTATAATGATTAATCGTACCATTAGTTGTCGGGATTATAGATGATTATATACATTTAATATCCCCCAAAAAATGGAGGTTTAAGTCTCATATGTAATTAGGATGGAAATCTATGATGGAAGACTCTGGTGGGATGATGGGACCAGCTGTGAGGCGCGACCTGCTACAAAGGATCTGCAGCAGGTGCTCTCGCGCCTGGTCGATATATATATTCTTTTGGAAGGGATGCCCATGGGGAAGCACACAACAACTTGAGGGGAGTGTTTCTCTCAGCTTTTTGAAGGCAGGGTGTTGGTGTTTTGCGCGAATGGGTTCCTTCACCCGGTGGATCTGATCCAAGCCCAAGGAAGATCAAAGACACCATCTCCGAGGGTGAGTTTGGCAAGCGCGGGGAGGAATATGTCGCTGCCCAGGCCCAACTTCCCCTCCAAATTCTGGTGTTGGAGAAGGATGGGAGGGGCTGTTTGAGAAGCACCAGAGAATGGCAGAGATGGTGGAGCAGCTACTTTGTACCCCAAAATCCATGGCCCCCATGGGGCAGTTGGAGTTGCAACATCTCTGCAGGTGTTTCTGATCCTGTGCGTCTTGGTGGGCACTGTGCCGCTCTTGGGTGGCTCCTTATACTTTCTGGCAGGGCCACTCTGCATGGCTGCGGGCGGGGCCATTGTGGCAGCCGCCTTGTCGCCTTCCTGCAACGTACGGGCTGGGCAACCCTAAATTTGGAATTTGAGAAACATGAGCAAGGTGACCAAACAACACAAATCGAGATCAGTCGAGATCTTTATTTTGGGGGAACGATCGAGAAGGCAGGCTATCGGATTTCCGCAGAGCTACTTCTCAGGTACGAGATTGGCGATGGCTTGTCGCCCTGGGTGACTCCTTCAGCAGAGCTTGGTCCTTGGGAGCTGCACAGAATGGCCCAGCATGGATGGCTTCACCGGGGTGGCATTTTTTTGGCGGTGTTATGCCCATTTTTATGTGCATTTCTTGGGCCAAAATTGAGCCTAGAACGGATTCACGGTCTCAAAGACACCACTTTTTCCCCCATTTTTGTGTGAGACATTCGTTCTTCATCTATCTATGCCCATAGATGTATAGAGTTAGAGGGATCTTGAGTCTTCATGCCACCTTACTTGGAAGATTAGGCCAGTCGGCCTCTGTTTCATTGGTTCGTATATTCCGCGATTATCCCTTTCATAACTTCTTACTGTATAACCAATTAAGCGCATTGCGGGTTACATTACTTTTCATTGCAGTCATACTGTACTGACAGGAAGGCCCAACTTGTTCCCCATGATGTAAGCGGACTTGGATCCGTTGACAGCACGGCCCTTCGAGGTCTGAGCTGAAGACAGGAGGCGTCTTCGAATATGTCCGGCATCCGATCTATGGCGGCTTGCTGTTGCTGTGTTTCGGCATTGCAATCATCAGCAACAGCCCCTTGGCAGATTTGCCGGGAGGACATTACACATGAACGAGGAGATCGATGGGGAATAGGTTTGTGAAATGGGGACATACGGATATGACATGTGTAAATGTATATATATATATATTTTAATTTTGCATATTGATACATATCAAATACAGACAGTATATGCGTTTGTCTACATGCATGTGCATACACATATGTGCTCGCACACACTTGCTCAGAAACAACATTGCGAATTTTGTTGTGGAGTGCATCACACGTGCACAAAACAATCCCTTAAAAACTGCCAGGAAAAATTGGTTGATCCAGCGTGAATTTCAGTGCGAAGTAAACTTCTACGTCCTTGCTCTGAGGAAGGTTCTGATGTAGCTGAACCAGTTGTAAATAACCAAAAAAGTCCAGAATGCGACAACACTGCAGAACATCGAAATTGACACTTAGACGGCGTGGAGGCGCTTGGGTTGAGCCTCTTCCCATTTCTGAAAAATTGGCAGGTACGCATGGCTGATCAGGCGTCTTCGTTGGTGGTAGACTCTGGACCCTGCTACCACCCCCTGCCTAATAAAAAGTTTAGAAGTTTTACATCTTTTCAGATGGTCCACACACACGCCTCGCTGCCGCGAGGCGGTTTTGGCAACTGAGGTCCCGACAATGAGATGAAAATGAAGAAGAAGGGAAATGAGAATGAGGTGAAGGTGACAATGAGATGAAAGTTACTTAACCAGGACGCAAAGAGGGGAACGCAAAAGAAGAGGGAAAGAGCAGACACCAACACATGAAACCTAGCCCAAACCGGGCAACCCTGAAAAGGCAAGGGAAAAGAAAAGCGGAGGCCGACGGAAAACGGACAAAGACCAGCGGAGGAGGGGGAAGACGGAAGCGCCTGAACCAACCTGCCGCGGCGAAAACCTACAACAACCTCAGCACGCGACGGGCCAAACCTACCTGGAGAGAGGAGAACGCAAGAACACATGAAATAGGGGCCCATGGGGAACAAGTTATTGACATGATGCATCCACAACGCATGCAGTATTCGTGATAAGGCTCAAAGGCCCTCGGCTTTCATTTCAACCCCATCGACGGCTGTCAGTATTCAAGTGAATTAGGTGCACAATTGAACCTCACCAACGACCATCAAAAGAAAGGAGAACCATACCTGCAAGAATGTCCTGTTGCCTGTGAAATCATGGTGAATGGCTGCGGGCAGTCCCTTGAGTTCCAGTAAAAGGCCGATTGTTGTCGTGGCTTCCAACTATGCAATTCAGCGAAAAAGAAAAGAGGCCCAGCACAGCGGCCAGTTGTTCAACCAGACGACTTCGACAAGGTGAGAATCGAAAAAAGGCCAGCAGTTCACTTTACTTAAACGAATTACTAATTCAAAAGTGTAAATTCAGACATCGATTTACTGTCAATTGTTAGCCTGGAAAGGCTTTCCCCGAAGGGTTCCTGCCAACTTGACGTATACAGCAGGAATGACACACTTGCTCAGAAACAACATTGCGAATTTTGTTGTGGAGTGCATCACACGTGCACAAAACAATCCCTTAAAAACTGCCAGGAAAAATTGGTTGATCCAGCGTGAATTTCAGTGCGAAGTAAACTTTCTACGTCCTTGCTCTGAGAAAGGTTCTGATGTAGCTGAACCAGTTGTAAATAACCAAAAAAGTCCAGAATGCGACAACAGTGCAGAACATCGAAATTGACACTTAGACGGCGTGGAGGTGCTTGGGTTGAGCCTCTTCCCATTTCTGAAAAATTGGCAGGTACGCATGGCTGATCAGGCCATGTATCACCAGGGAAACCAGAGTGTCTTCGTTGGTGGTAGACTCTGGACCCTGCTACCACCCCCTGCTTAATAAAAAATTTAGAAGTTTTACATCTTTTCAGATGGTCCACGCACACACACACACACACACTAACACTTGCATGAATTCATGGTGATACGATGATACGCCCATCATTTCGCTGTGGCTGGGATCAATTTGTTTGCCACGTCGCCACTCAGGTGCTAGTCGCTTGGTGCTCACTGGCGTGTTGTACTTGGTCCTTGACAAGAAGGCAGACTTGGAGGAGGATAGCCTCATGCAGACTTTCAATGACTATGGCAGCTCTGCGGTCAACTGGGGGCATGAGGATGAACAATTTTTTTTTTTGCGAGAAAAGAGTGACAATAAGTCAGCACTTGGGAGGAATATTTACATGCAAATGTCATTTGCAGATGTCACATATGCATCATCCGGAAAATCACAAGCATTCCAGGCCCGCTCCTCACTGGAGGGAATCCCCATCGATCGAGGCAAGTACCGTGAGAAGACGCCGGGCAAACTTCTGCCGGACGTGCAGCGCATTCTGAGCGCTGAGGCGCCATCAGGAAGTGGATCGAAAGCCACCGATGTGTGACTTGGAAAGTCCTGCTGGTCAGCCAGTTTGGAAAATGGATGAAAATGGAACATAGATGGTCTGTTGATGATTTACCCATCGATTCTGGTGATTCTTGTTGGGTTTGTTTCAAGTGGACGTATGCACATGGTCGGTGCGCCTGGCGCCTTGAATCTGGTGCTCCAAGTCTGACCAGAGCTCGGCGGACACAGAGAAAAAAGTCCTGCTGTGGAACGTGGTTGAAGTGGTTTGAACTGGCGATTTGATACATTTTTCCAAATCACATACTGGATCATACTGGCAAACATCTCAGTGCTTTTTTGATGTTTGACACATGGTGGTGATGTTCTCCAACATTGCGCAAGCCGCGCCAAGAGTAAACCATCCCATACCGGGTCCATTGGATCCCACCTTCCAGGTGATGCTGCGAAGGTCTTCGACGCTGGGATTGGAGCCATCGAGGCTGATGATATTTAAGGATCAGAAATGAATCATTAGATTCACTGATTCAAAAATAAAAATCATTAAAACCCAGCATCTCTTAATTTGCAATCAGTTAGTTTTAATCATTCAGAGTTATTAATTCAATAAAGCCAGCGATTCACTTGGTGATGATTTACATTTAACAAGTTGTGATTCATTAAATGAGGTAATTAGCAAAAAAAGGGGGTTCTGACTCACAAAAATGGAGTTTGACCCAGCGAGCCGTGGTGTTTTTTTGAAGCAAGAAATCCCGATTTCTCCTCGGAGGATCGTTGTTAGGAAAATCACAATCTCCTATTCTGTCCATCTTCCATTTGTGATTGCCTGAGAGCACCTGTCTTCCGCTACACTTCCGTCCCCAGAAGAATTTCCTGTTTCGAATCTGTCTCTCTTTGTCAGAATGACCGGCCCCTACCAGTGAATCCCACAACCAATATCTCCAATATCATCCCTTCCCAACATTCAATAATGCTAGTAATAATAAACCGCCCATAGTTTGATGGTTTATACTACCCATTCATGGTAAATTTGGGGATGGTTTACTACTTCCTATTGCTTTACCAACATGAAACCAGTTCTGGATCCCATGCCGAGCCAAGGACTTGAGCACATTTTTGCTGAGCGCCTGGTATCCCAAGTTGCCCATGGCACCAAAGACCTTTGACCAGGCCCTTTATCATGGCCAGCAGAAGCCGATTGAATCGGATTAAAAAGATCAGCCGTTAGAATTGGAAGGGTTCAGTTTTTAAGGTACTATATAAGATGTACTAAGGTACCCCCAGACAAAAATTGGATGGTTTAGTCTTGAGTCTTGGGCAACTGGTTTGAACTCAAAAATTGAGAAAATGCTTGATTTCGGTGCACGTGGCCCGCTGACCTCTGGATCAAAAAGAGAGCATTCCATCCGATTCCGCCCCGATAAGAACTGAAGCTACATTTCTATCCAAGTAGTCATTCAGACATTTAGCTGATGCACTGCACGGGCATGAGGGAAATCCACAAATCAAAAAAACCATCCATTGGACACCTCCAGAGAGCGACATGTTTCCGTTTCACCGGTGTGCCATGGGAGCAGAACACTGTTGCTGCAAGAATGCAGCTGAAATTCATGCAGAAGTGATCAATTCCGATGTAAGACCCAGTTTTTCACAGCGATCTGAAGATGACCCTGGGCCCAGCAATGTGAAAGTGGCGACGGATATTTCCTTCACTGACCAGCTGGCGCCGGTAGAGGAGGAGGAGAGTGGCCCGAGCCCGAAATCACCGACATCACCGACATCACCTTCAGCTTTTTCAGCTTTCCGTTGGAGAAAGATGACAGAAATGAGCCACATGGAAAGTGACTATGAAATCATGCGGGGCATTCCATTGCATCGAGCACTTCAGCACTCTGAGCTTTGGACGTCCCCACGTGAAATCCAAAGGAGGAATCGGTCGTCTGGAGTCTGGGCTCTTTCGACCAGGGTGTCAAGTTACGACATGTTCTTGTCGCATACCTGGAAGACAAAAGGCAGGTGGAAAGTTCTTGCTTTGATGATGCAAACAGGTTGGCCTCATGCATTGTTGGCTTGGGTGGTCGGGCTGACTGCCATGCTATTTTTGCGAGCTTTTGACGTTGTCAGTGGCCCGTGGGGCAACGGTGCGATTTGGATTGATGGAAAACCTGTCCCAGTGGTCTTGGGCCCATGGATCATCATTTCTGCAGGAGCTTTTCTGGTAGCTGGTCTGCTTTTCTCTCCCTACTTGCCGCTCAAGACGCAGGTGTGCTTTCTCGATGTGGCATGCATTCACCAGGGGCGAGATGACATGTTTGAACGTGGTTTGTACACCATTGGTGGGTGCCTTACAGCTACAAAGGAACTCCGGGTTTTGTACTCACCGGAGTACTTGTCGAGCCTTTGGTGTGTCTTCGAGCTTGTGGGATTTCGCAAAGCAAATCCTGAAGGAAAACTTACAATCTCACCATTATTTGTTGAGCGGTCTGCTGCAATTTGTGCCTTCATTATGTGGTGTGCGGCGCTTGCAGCCATTGCAGGGATTGCTCTCACGGACAGCAGCTTTCGGGAGAGGAATGTTGTGGTAGTGTTTATGGCGCTTTTCCTGTTGCCAGTGATATTTCTTGTACATGCTCTGCGTCACAGCTACAGAGAAAAGGGGCGGCTGATATTCGATTTGAATAGTTTTGATGTTGATACATTGGTTTGTCATTCGGACTTTGATCGGGCTTTCATACTCAGTGCCATTGATGCCTGGTACGACAGCAGGGAAGCTTTCAAGGACTTCGTTCGAAGTGATCTTCGCGAGGAACTCTTGAGTCTGCTGCCATCTCCTCACCTTCCTTGTGCCTATGCGGCCTTGATCCTTTCCAGTCAGGTTACTTGGATCTTGGACCTTTCCGTTGGCTTGTACAAAGCTGGTGCGGACATTCGCATCCTTGCCCGTTACTCCCTGGCTTATCTGGCTTTTACTTTGTGGTTTTGGTGCGCATTCAATGGCCTCTTCTACCTGAGTGATAGAACTTCCGAATCTGGTCGCACTCGGCTTTTGGATTGGTTCAAGACACTTGGGGTGGCCGGGGTCATATTTTTATGGACAGTGATCAGTTTTGCTGTTGTTGTAGGAGTCACTCGGCAGTCTGACAGAGTCGTGGGCTTCTTTTGCTACCTTGCTTTCTCAATGATGCTTCCGTTTTTGATTTTGGACACCTTCAAAGTTTGTCGACGACATTGCCCGAAACAGGAGGCAACTCGCCTCTGAAATTTCAACTTGTTCGCTTCGGCTCCTTGTGGTGATGGCTTAAGCCACATCGTTTCAAGTTGGATGGCATGACCTCCAAAAATCCTATAGATGTATAAACATGTAGGTTTGAATTTAGCATCATAAATCATGATGTGCTGTGCAAATTCATACGTGCACGCTGTGGCCTTGACAAAAGAGTCAGGATGCAGCGGCGCGTTGGTTGCTGGCAGCGGCTCAATAATTTGCGAAGCAAAAGTGCGTGACGAAACTGCTGGAGCAGAAAGCCGGCACCAATGATTTGCGCTACTTAGTGCAATGGGGGATACGAGATAACAATTAATATATAATACCCCAACACTATGGATTTCTGATGATTTCAATACTAGGCCAATGTTGAGTGATGTTTGGGGGCCCCAATTTTCATAAACCTTCGTTTGTAGTAATTACTCCCCGTGCTGGCAAAACTGTTCAAACTCATTTTGATTGCTTATCTTATCGCGCGATTCACTAACCGGTGCCGACTGCACGGTTGCATTTGTTTTGCGTAGAACACGGTGTGCAAGGAGGTAGATCGATAGACATGTTAAAATAGATTGATAGCATGATAGATATGCAGACAGATTTACTGTAGATAGATTTAGATCGCCAGCTAGATGGATAGACAACTCCTTTAAGAGCCTACAGGGATATCCCATATGGCCCATATCCCACGGGTACCCCCGAAAGGGGCTCCTCTGACCAAACGGCGGAACGGGGAACGGCAAGGTGTTGAAGCGGCGGCAAGCTCCGGCGACTCTAGCTGGCCTTTGCGACTTGACCGTAGGGACCCGTAGGGATGGCCGGAATCCCGGAATCCCGAAATCCTATGGGTTTCATCATTTTTACCTTTGACACGGCCACCAAACATAGGAAGTTAATGGAAGTTAGGTATGAAACATCCCTCGCCTTGAAACAAGTCCCAAAATCATATTGTTAAGATGGTTGCTGCAGATCTCCCATCATATCTCTTCTATTCACCATTTACACCCTCCAGTAAATTCAGAGTTCAACCCTGAAAAGAAGCTATTTTTAGTGGTTTCACTCCCCCCCAAAAAATGCCAGGGTTGAACTGTTTTCCTTTACCGGTGGGTTACCGGGGACCCGAGTCCCTGAGGAACTCCGCCCGGTTCAAATCGAGGTTTTTACGGCCTCGTGACTGCGATGTTTCTGCGATCTCAGCTGCATGGCGATGTTTTCCCATGACGGTTGCTATTCCCCCCGCCATTGTAAGGAATCCCTAATGATTGGATGACCCTAACCCATATAACCCATATGTATAAATGTACATACACACACATATATATATATATAAATATGTCTAACTCCCCAGAATACCCGTGACTCTTCGGTGGTTTGTTTTTTTTCCCATCTATCCCCCCATTGACGATTTCATATGAGGGGGGTTGGCTCAACCAGCGAGGTTTCTGGTGGATCATTTGCAAAGCTATGAGGATGGCCTCTCGAACTTGGACGTCGCTGCCTCAAAAAAACACCCAGTTGCTGGTGGCTGTGGCAGTACAAATAAGTAGATAGATTGGATTAGATTAAGAGTAGATTGGATCGGATAAGATAAGATAGATAGCTAGCTACCTAGCTTGCGCGATAGCTAGATAGGTACAGTAGGTAGGTAGATAGATGGATAGATAGACAGACAGACAGAGACGGATAGAAAGATAGATGATATGTACATTTTCATGCATACACATTGTAAATGTACATATGTGTATATAAAAATGAATCTATCTATCTATCTATCTGTCTGTCTGTCTGTCTGTCTGTCTGCCTGCCTGTCTGTCTGTCTGTCT